GGAACCACATTGGCCCTCTTCCAGTCCTCTGGCACCACACCAGAGCACCACGAGTGCTCGTACGGCCGTGCCAGGGGTCCCGCAATCACCGCAGCCAATTCCCTCAGCACTCGGGGGTGGAGATTGTCTGGAGCAGCTGATTTAAATACATCCAGTCCTGCCAGACGTTCCCTGACTAGATCCTCCCTGACCCTTGGCCTAGGTGCGCCTCCCCTGGGGCCTGAGGGGGGCCCAGTGGGCGCTAATCTGGTCCCTGCTCAGGAAAATGGAGGCAAAGAAGTCGTTAGATAGGTTGGCTTTGTCATCTGGTGTGACGACCAGATTTCCTAGCGTGTCTTGCAGGGGCCCCACGTTACCCGGTACCTTCTTTTTGCCCCCTGTGTATTTAAAAAAGGACTTCTCGTTGTCCTTGATCTGGGAAGATCATACTGCTCCATCTTACAGAGTGGGAAAGAAAGGTGAAGAGCCTGACTCCCAGGGTCACAGTACAAGCCCGGGGCAAAGCTGGGCAGTTGGGATGCAGTCTCTGGCCTGCTGCTGCAAACACAGGGCCGGGCTGCCTGCCTCCCGAGCAAATGCGGCTTTGGGTCGCGAACATTCAGAGATTTCCTGCTCTCCACAGAGGCTGCAGCAGCTCTCCGGTGCAGAGGATGCAGCGTGCTGCTCCAATACACCCCTCACCAGGGTACACACATGCCTTTCCCCGTCTCATCACCTGCCACATGAACGCGATGCCGGCTTTCACCTTCCATGTCTACAACGCAGCCTATGCCTGGAGTGCTAAGCTGGGCCAGGCAGCCTGCCCAGAGAGCACACGGCATCGGTGCGGCTTTCCCAGGCTCCTGCAGGCAGCTAGGCACCAGCACACAGAGGACCAAACAAAGTCCCAGCTCTGCTTTGCTCTTGTTGTTTTGAGTCAAAGCCACCATCTATTCAGATAACGCTGCTAATGCCTCGAGCATTTATTCTGACCGCGGGGGCCAGCGCTCAGTGCAGGGAACCATTTTTGAAAGGGAGCCTAAGTTTTCACCAGGTGATCCACAGACAAACTGGCCACGAGGGAAAGAAAGTCACTAAATAGCATGTGTGAACACAAATACGGTCCCACAGAGCAGCTTTCACGGGCCCCAAGGCCAGGCTCTACATCAGATTCATGAGATGAACACCTGTCTCGATGGCTGAGCAGGCCCCATGCCCCCACGCCGCCGGAGGACCTGCCAGGCAGCACCCCAGGAACTGCGGGGAACCAAGGGACACAGAAAGCCAGGAGACGGGGGGGCACTGTCCCTCGGCCCCCGACGAGAGCTGCATTTCTGCAACAGGCTGCAGGCGCCACAGTGCCTCCCCCATGCGGGGATTGCAGCATCCACATCCCAGACACAAAGCACAGGAAGGAAACGCTCTGCGGTGCACACAACTACACTACGCAGCAGTTAAAGCCACAGCCATGAACCAGACCCCACGGTCCTAGCTACCAGCCCTTTCCCCAGCCACTATGCTTCAGTCCACGGGAGCGCACAAGCAGGTGGCACAAAGGGAAACCCCAGCCCCTGGTAGAGAAGGCTGCCAACTTAGCGCATGTGCAGGCCTGAGAGATCCCAGCCCAGGCTGCAGCACAGAGGAGCGATGCTGGGCAGGTCTGCGCCCAGCACCCCGGCTCACCCTGGGGCGCAGCACGGCTGCGCTTGGGCTGCAGCTCCTCTTACCTTTCCTGAAGCCTGGTGTTGTGTGGGGCAGACTCGGGCCTCCCCTGCGTACGCTGCCCCGTGGGCCAATTCACACGCTGCAGAGAAGTGTTTCAGCTGGGGAGCCAGAGACCGTCCTTCCTCCCTTGGGGTTTGCCTGCTGGGTAGGACTGGACAAGCTTGGGACCTGCCCTGTAGAGCTCCTGGTGTAGAGACAAGGTGGGGAGTCCTGACACTGCTGGGCTCAACCGTCACCGTGCAAAAAGCAAAGGAGTCCCTTGTCGCACGTGGCTCCTGGGAGCAGCTGAAGCCCTCCAGGTAGGGCCAGCTTCTCACACGTCTTCACCCCAGGAAACTTTGCTGACATGGGCCAAAAAGACAAAGCCCTGAAGAACCAAGGAGCTCAGTCAGACAAGGAGCCCCACACAAAGCTGCAGCCCCCGGGCTGTGGCCTCGCCTCCTTACCACAATAGCTCCCACCTGCGTCTGAGTGCGCGGCTGCATCTGGCCCTGCCTGCCACTGCTGGAGTGAGACCTCTGCACCCTCGGGAGCCTCGCAGAGCCCCGAGCAGCTTAGCGAATACCTGGAAAACCTGGATAAATGCAACTGCCTCCCTCTTGCATATTTAGGGCTCTGATCCCTCTAGTACTTGTGCTGCTTTCTAGGAGCAAGCAGATGGCAATGGGATCCGCTCAGCTGGCTGCATAAAACTGCATAGGTTTAAGAACTTGTAGGGCCAGGGCTTTATTCTTTACTGCAAACAGATGCTTATTAAAAGGCAGATTTACAGACAAGATGCATGTCTTGCTGCCTGTGGCCCGGGACTGAGGTTGCAACCAGTGCAGCATTTCTCTCCGAGGCACAGTGTTTCTCAGTGTTGTGGAAAACGGCCCCTGCAGCCCATATTCTCCCTCCTCCATTGCCTCGCAGGCAAGCCTGCCATGGGAAGCCCTTGCACGATGCTGTCAGTGTGAGGAGTTTAGAGGGGGAGGTGGGGTCCAAATATAGCCCTGCAGCCTCTGGCTGTTTCAGGCTCTGCTTCCCATCCTGGCTTTGCAGCTTGGGCACAGCTGTCTACTGGACTGGCTCCAAGTGCACATTTTCCCTTGTTCCCCGCTTCTTTAGCGCTCCTTTTAAACTCCACTTCTTCTGGACAGGAACCCAAATGCTAGTTCCTGCTGGAGGAAACGTCCACAAAGGTCCACAAAACCTTGTTTAGAGCTGCGGCACACAACGACAGCCCACGTGCCTCACACCGAGCAGGGCAGAGTGCTGTAGGGCTTGGAGTCAGGAGACTCGATCCTATTCCAAGTCTGCCACCACCTTCTTGCTAACGTTACCATCTCCCCGTGGCACGTTCCGGTTTCTCCATCCACCCCCTGTCTGACTTCTCGCTGTAAAACGTGAAATCGGAGACTTTCACTGGGGCTGGAGCCTCCGGGCACTAATGCAATACAAATAACGATGAAAAATGCTGCATCTAGGCAAGGTAGACGTTAAGCCTTAGCACAAAAAGCAGGCATGATGACACTTGACCCCTACCAATATTCCTGTCAGGCCAAGAGATTTCAATGCATATCTGAGCAGAAAAATCAGCCAGAAATAAGGTTTAAGAGTTTAATTCTGAAAAAGTCATTGCTTTTTAATATTTGATACATGCTTTCCACTCGCTCCAAAATCCCATTCATTGAAAGCCTAGGAGAGTGAGGGCATGCATGCAAAAGAGAAGAAACACTTTCGGCTCACGCGGTTTTGAACTGGAAAACAACTTCTTAATGGTCATCGTGGCCTCCTGTCATCTTGGCATTTAACAGAGCTGGACTTTTTTCCCCACTAGCAACTGCAAAAAAAAAAGTCCATTGTTTTGCAAGAATAAAGCAGGGAAGCTGGGTTCAGCGCTTTGCTCTTTTTACTGGCTTCAATTAAAAGCTGCTATGTAAAAAAAAACAAAACAAAAAACGGCAAAAACAAACACAACCTTTAAAAATGTGGGGTTTTTTAAATATATTTGAAGTGACTTTAGAACCAGTGACAAAGGCCTGGTTGACAGCCCCAGAAATAACATCATCCTCTTCAAACACAGTGTGGAATAATCATAAAGCACAAAACCTAGGAAAGCCCAAGCTGCCTTCCCCTGTATCCCAGTTGCAGATGTGTCCAACTCTTGATAAAAAAGGGTGATGACCTTCACCAGCTCAGCTTTCCAGGCCCAGCCCCTGTGCCAAGGGCCAGACCATCCTGGAGCTAGCAGTGATGGGGATACATGTTGGCTATGACCCATCTCCAGCTCCTCATCTGCTGGCCACCAATAACTGGATCCTACAGCAAATGTTTTTAGCCACCTACTGCCTGGGCTTTGCCAGAATCAGTGGCCTTGAGGTCAAAGTCCCCTGAGCCAGCCATCTGCACCTAATTTCTACAATGAAGTCCCTCTTCCTTTTAATAGTTTCATACCTTTTAGAGGCTCCTGTGGGCTTCTGTATGCCCGATTCAGCTCCCTCACTTGAACCAAGCTAAATGGGCTTGACTTAAGGCCCTTTCTCATCTGGTACAACTCCAGTCCATGACCAGGTGGGGCTTGTTTTCAGCCAGCAGACTTACCGGTAATGGTTGACTGCTCTTTTTCATTTGTTTCTTATGGCTAAAGAGAGAAAAGCCTTCCCATCGATTTCTTATGCAACCCCCCTCCTTGAATACAGAGGGGCAAAGATCAGGAGTGAGAAACCAGAGGGCTCATGGCTGAACAACAGCACACAGACTGGTAGGACGGAAAGAAAAGAAACCATTCAGCCGAGACTATTCCCACTTGAGCGGCAGGCCAGATATGGAAAATTAACATACAACATCAGCAAACTCCACGACAGCATTAAACATGTGAAATGAAGGATATAAGGCACAAGAAGGGGAATTAATTTACTCGTGTTCTTGAGGGAAGAAAGAAAGATGCATTTAATACAGAGATGAGGTGAAAACAAACCATCCCATCCAAACACCCCAAAACACTAGATCAGATACCAATGCGATCAAGGGTCCAAATGCTTTCCCTGGATTTGGAGTTGTTTGAGGTCTGGATCCAGCTTTTGGTGGCTTGTGCTCACCCCTTGGCAGCAGTGGTAGACACCTGTGTCCAGAGGAAGGTGAGGGAGGCCGCATCCCCACACGCTGCAGCCTGGTTAATTAAGAGCAACGTGTGTTGGAGGGACAGAGATAACACTCAACCTGCTCAAGAGGGGTTGAACCCATACGTGGATGCCAGCTTGTGGCCTCCCTTCACCTCCCCTGTGCTGAGCTGATTTCTTGGGATGCTAACGCTGCCCCTGGGTTTTGGCACGCCCCCCACCCCCCTTGCTTAAGGGATTTGGATACTGGGTCGTTCTAAGTCCACCCCATCCTGCTCTTGGCCACTGGAAGAGCAAAACCAGGTCCATAGATAGCCCCACCCTAGTCCTGCCCTAAGCCCTGGGCAGCGCCAGGCTTCAGCAGTGCTGCCCTGTACCATGCAGAGCTGCATCACCAATGGGGCAGAGCGCTGTGTAGACTGCAGCTTTCGAGTTCATTGTAGAGAAAAGGTGTATAATTCCCGGCCTGGCCGGGGGGGGTCCTGTCCTTGCTTGCCTCCCCTCTTCCCCCCCTCCCCTTTCAAACCATGCTGAAGAGGCCTTTGCCCTGGCGCACATCACATCTCCGTGTCGGCGAGAACGTGAGGCCTGGCAGAGCGTCCGTTTTTTGAGGCCGTCTGGCCAGTCCCGTTCTCCTGAGCTCCTCCCTTGAGATTCGGCTTCTCCTGCGGCTCCGGCTGCTCGTGGGCACCCACGGAGATCAGCGTGTTTCCCTGGCTGCTGTTTTCCATGTAATAGGGGTCTTCGCCCTAGACAGGGACATAGATAACAAACGCAGAGTTAGCGGAGAGAAAGGAGTGACAGGAGCTATGTCAGTGCCACGTGGGGGCTCAGCCTTGCCCCCGGAGAAGGGGCGCAGGGTAGCAGCCAGCACAGATACCAGCTTGGGCTGACATGGAGAACAAGCCCCACTGGGGACTTCCATGGCCTCAATTCTTCTCCATGACCTACACGTAGAAGTCCTCAATTTGGTGCTGTCTGGATAAACAGGCCCCAGGCTCTTGAACTGTCCTAGGCTCGGACAACTGCAAACCCAGCTCTGTTTTTCATTTGGGTCAAATGAAATATTTGGGAAATTTCCTTCCTTTCTTCTCTTCAGCCTGCAACCTAGTGAGCAGATGTCAGGGGCCTGAGCTAAGCACTCCCAAGTTAAGCGTGGTGACCCGAGCTGCACCTCCAAACACAGACTCATGCTCTGCAGGACAGCATTATGGCAGAGCTAGCTAAACCATATTGCGGGGTGGAGACCCATTTCACATCATCTGAGACAGGGGGTAAGGGACCGTGCTGGAGACAAACTAGATGGACGGTGGACCATCAGGATTGTTCCACAACTCCCGAGTCTCTAAGATCTGGCAGCAATGCCAACCAGAGCCAGTGCCACAGGGCGCTAAACGAAGTATGCTCACCACACAGTGCGTCGGGAAGCAAATGAAGAACAACCGAGGCTGAGGTCCTCTAATTGCTCCCTCATTACTGCTCACAGAGCATGGGCTGGAGCAGGGCCAACTTCCCATCTGCTCAGTCCCCTCACCAATGTGTTTCAGCCCCATCTTGGAATGGGATCTTGCAGGGCTGAAAGCGGCCTCCTGGGCTATTGGGTCCAGTCCCCAGCTCCTATATATGGAGCTCAGTGGCTGTGGCCCAGGCTGATTCTTGGCCTCTTTGCTTGCACTCTCTTTGTCCTGTGCGCTAGAAGCTGAATTTAGACCACCACATTCATTCAACCTCCATTAGTAAGCAATGACTTTCAGTGACAGCCAGCAGAAGATGGGATCCAGTGCCCTACAGCATCCCAAAACCACCCCTGACACCCCAGTCCATTGCACATTAGCTCAAATTTGCATTCCCCCATATTTTGGCAGGATACATCCCAGAATACTGAAGTTTATTAGCTTCTTACAGTATATAGTTGCTCCCGTGTTTCCCTTTCAGTACCACCTAGACTAACATTGTGGGACTATACTTTTTGGAAGGATTCAAGTCTCCATAAATCACTGATAGGAAAGGACCCCGCAGAGCTCAGCAAAATCTGTACATGGAAAAACGTATATAGGAGAATATTCTCTTTCTCGATATCCTTTATTAGCATCATTTGTTAAGTGGGGGAAACAGCTTTGATTACAGCACAGATACAAGAGAGGTGTAGTATAACTTAGTCTTTAAATGTAAAGCATGGGGGAAAGCGTGCCATTTTTCAAGGGCAAATTAACAGGCTTTTGGAGTCCCTGGAGGAGTCTTCCGGGACGAGCTCTTACAGCCCAGTGAAAATATGTTTTAGAAATGGAAGTGAGAGAGAACAAGGGAGAACGGTCCCCAAGTGAAGTCAATGAACATTTAGCGTTAGAGAGGAAGAGTGATTGCCTTTCACTCTCCATGTGCTAGACTTGGGGGTGACTGATTGTACTGCACACCCCCTTGATGCATTCACCTCTCTCAGGCTGGCTCAGCCGTGAGCCCCCAGGCTTTCATTCTCCCTCTGGGGGTGTCCGAGGTGGCATTCAGGACAGGCCCTGGCTGATCAAGCTGTCTCATGCAATCTAGAGATACATGAATATACTATAGGCCATTAACACAGAAAATAAGTTCACAGCTTCCACCTGCCCTCCCGAACAGAGAGCATCAGTGAGGTCTCGGCAGTGCTCTCTGGGGCCTTCCCCCCCCTCCACATTCCTCCAGTAGTTGGGTATCTCTCTACTTGTTTTGCCATCTATAAGCACTAACCAGCCTCTCTCTCATGGGGCTCCAGCTCCGTCGTTTCATAAGGAAGTATGCAGCCAAACCCAAAATCGCCACCAAGAGTCCAGATGTGACCAAGGCAATCAGCGTCTTCCGGGAAAAGTCCTGGTGATTCCAGACCTCCTCCTTCTTGTAGGATTCTATACCGAGCTGGAAACACACCAAACAGAGCCATGAACCTCAAAAACAGGGAACTTGCACCAGCATCACATCTTCTGAGAGCGCTTTGGCACCTTAGTTGAGCTGTTTTCCAGCTCAGCTCTACCTGTGTTTATGAACGGACTCCACCCAGCTCCCAAAGTGATGAATGGATGGTACTCCCAGTCACTCCAGCGGGAGCTGGATCGGGGCCTTGGGGCCAGGCCGACTGCCCCAGAGAGGGAGATTCTCCATCCCCAAGACAGATACAGCAGAAGCAGGGACAGCTTCCCCCACGCTTCCCTGCAGCATGCTTCACTTCTGACCTGCAAAGGCCAACTACAGCAGTAAGAAACCCCTTGCCAGTCAGTCCTTAGCCCCTCTGAGACTGACAGCTCTCTCAGATAACAGGCACTGCAGGTGCATGTCATGCTATATAACATTATTCTCCCCATCTTTTGAGTCCTGAGCTCTTTGCACTCTCTGCTGACCTTATCCACCCAGGACTGAAGAATTCACCTGCAGTATAAGCATCTTTCTTGGAGCCCTGTATTTATGCCTCCAGTGAAGGTCTCCTCCTCTGATCAGAGGGCTTTGCCCCTGAGGTCTGCAGCACACTGCTGCACAGATGTATTATCGTTGACAGGGTTACCGGCTAGCTGCTATTTGTACAGCCGTTACCAGCTTGTGGTGACCTCACTGGAGTGTTGGGAGGACCCACTGAGTAATGGCACTTTGAAGAGGTAAAGCATCAGCTAAGTGCTGGGTGTTATTTTTGGGGACCCATTGTGAATTTAAAACATACAGTATCTGCTACTGTAAGCATGCAAGAGTACAGGACACCTATTCTGGAGCACTAGAGCGAGTGTGTGTGTGCATATATGTGTATGCACGGGTGTGTGCACATATGCATGTCTATGCATAGCCATGGCCTGGATTTGTCTAAGGATCTGGGGTTTCCAGCCTGAGATGCATCAGAAGGGCCTGGGTTTCAGAGGGCAGGTACCCAGCTCTGCAAACTAGACCTTTCTAAAGACTCTTACCTGGGACACCCAAAATTAATAGTCACGATTGACTATTTAGATCCTATTTTTTTATAATAGGAAGGCACTGCGTGCTTAATGCTTATTATGCAGAAGATAAAGTAATAAAAGGTTCTGTGATTGAAAGCAACTGCAAAAGTTCCTGCTTTTGCGAGGAAGTAACAGAGCAGAGGCAGAGGAGGCTCCTTGTTAGATCTGCAAAGCCCTGTCAGAAGGCTTACAGAGCGAGCGGCTCGTTTTCAGTCCTTTTGGGACTGGCTTTTCTTGCAGCCTCCTGTGTTGTAATGCAATACTGCAGCATTCTGCCAAGTGCCAAGTGAAGATGGTGCCTCTCTGCCTCCTCCTATTCCCCACGTGGCAGTGACAGAAGTCAGCCACTTGTTTATGTGCAGATACTCTGAGCATATTCTGAACTATTGAAATGCAGGCAGGGAAAGGTCCCGGATTTCTCTCTGCAGCAGATACCGCACGGGCAGCGGTAGGACAGCCTTCTCTACGCCATGACGGACCTGACGAGGATCAGACCAGGGGGCATTCTCTATAGTGCATTAGGTAGTTTGGCACTGGGTATGACCCCAGTTCACGGGGAGCTGGGCTGATGGCATCTTCTGTGCTCTTTGCCACAAAATGCCCCTCCGATGGTGACAACTCTGTTACCACCAACCTGGGCTGGATCTGAGCAGTCAGCTTAACAGACTCTTCCCTATCCCGAGCACCCCAGCCATTGCATCTCCCATCCCGCTCCAGTTGAAAGCATTTACCTCTTTCAAATCAGGCTCTGAAATCTTGAGGTGGTTTAGGACTGCTTTTGCATCTATAGTTTTCAAGAGAGAAAGGTCGTATGTTATACAGTATAGAAGCTGTCGGGCCAACACTTGACCAGTTTGCAGTCATACCGAGAAGACAAGCTGGAAGCTCTACATCCCTCATCCAGCCATGGCATGCTATGACTAGATATAAGCCATATCTCCCTTAAGGCTCAAGAAGGGAGAAAAGCAGCTGCAGCGGTCTGCGTTCCAGCCTGCCGTTATGGTTTTCCATGCATTCAGACACCTTTGATCGCCCTGAATAAAACAAGCTATGTCCCTCCACTCTCCTCTTGCAGATAACACTCACACTGCCCTCCACCAGCGCACTAAGTTTCCTGCTTCTCTTCCACCCACCTGCACACATGTGTGCATGCTTGCACACACACGCGCGCGACAGAGAAATGTGTCTCACTGACCTGCAGTGTCCCCTAGGATGAGCAGCATGCAGTAGGGTTTCACCTCCGATTTAGCCAGTTCAACATGGCAGGGAGAAGTAGGGTGCAAGGCCAAGAAGTCATTACAAAGCAGCTGCCACAATCTCCTTCCCACCTTCGCTTTAAAATGATCCTAGGAAAGTCCCAGAAGGAAACAGCCAATAAAGTGGTAACCCGACCAACACAAATCCTCCCTCTCAATTAAACCTCAACTATACCCCTTGCTTGTGTTACCGTCGCCAGTCTTTCTCTTCCATTGCAATAGCTCCTACAACCGGCTTACCAGGGCTGGGCTTTGTTGTGCGCGTCACTGGCCAGACGTGCAGCAAACGTCAGTGTGATACCAGTTCAGACTGGGACACAGCATGGTCAGAAGAACCGAGAACCAGACTGGGAACCTCACAAATGTGAGCCCTTCCTTTCCACTATCTCGTCTGACATTTAATTTCCATGTGTCGGCTTCCCCATCACCGGGAGGATATTGGCCCTTATCTGCTGCAGAGGGCGAGTTTATGCTGGTGAAGTGACATTCGATGTTATCGACAATGGAGTCGAATGTTATTTTTATTGAGCCTAACTGGAGCATCGGCGGGGTTTGGGTGTGTTCCTTCATGTTTTGGAATGAGAAAGAAGCCAAGGGAGCCTGTATTGTTTTGGAACTGCAGAAAGTCTGGGAAACCAGGAAATAACAGAGAATCATTTGGCTTTCCTGTTTAGGAAATGCCTTGAATATTTCTGAGCAGGCACTGATCAAAGGCCGGGCAAAGAACAAAACTTTCTCACTTCTTGGAGTTAGAAAGACCCCATGGTGGGCCGTGTCAAGGAGGAGAGAAGAGCTGCTTTTTCCTCCTCTTGACCAACTGGTGCATGCGACCATGTGGGTGCTTCTCCTAAAACCTGTCTGCATGCACGCACACAGACACTGTTTGGGGGTCAGGGCTAGGTTTGCTGCCTTGGGAAATCTGGTTGCATGAGGCTGGCAGGACAGCTCAGGGCATTAATGAGGGGTATTCAGTCTTTCAGCTTCAGACGGCTTGAAAAAACCCGGCTTGCATCGGCAGCACATAAAAATTATTACCACCTTGACAGCTGTTTGATGTCACAAGGGAAAATGAGCTTGCCATCTCAGAGGGCTGGACCAACACTACTGCATCTGAACATCCCCTTTGTGGGAACAAGTCTCGGAGACTGACCTGCGCTCCCAATCCTTGTGGCATCCCCAGCGTGATGTAGCCAAGCTGGTCTCTGACTATAATTGACGTCTTTCCTTTGCCTAGAGGGGTCTGTGCCTAGTTTCTTTAAAGACCTGCCAGCCCTCCCAAACTCTTTTCTCCCTCTGCCTTATTCTCCGTGGGATTTTGCTGGCCAAACCCCTGACTTTCCTTACATCTGCTTTCTTGAAATCAGCCTGTTACTTCAACTTTTCCTTTCCTAAGGATCACAAACTCTCTCACTTCCTGGCCTCATTTCACCAAAGCCATGGCAGAGCTGTGTCACTGATGGCACTGATGATAAAACCGTTTACCCTTTCTCTTCTAGGGGAAAAGAAAAGAAAACAGCCCTCTAAGATTGCTGTCCTACAGCATGTTTTGGGCAAGAGGACCAAGATGGGAGGAAATGCCCATGTGCCAGCTTCCTTGTTCTGCCGTGGAAAGAATTGGGGAGGGTGTCAGAGTTTCCTTTGCATTGACTGAGACAGACACCAGCATCATGTTCGCAGGCCTTGCAGGAAAAAGGAGAAGCAACTCAGCCCTTCTATCTGCTCTCCTTGAAGACTCTTATCTGTTTCCCAGGAACGCAGATTGAAAGGCCAAATAGTTTTTCCCATCCAAAGATTAGCTCAGATGGAGGCATGCCATAGATTAAAGATGCCTGGAAAAATCCTGTTTAAAACTGGCATGGCTTGAACCTTTCGGTATTATGGGGTTCCAAATATGGGAGCCCTCAGCCGTGAATTGCTACACCGTCTGGAGCTGAAAACCAGGGGATAGGTGTTAGAGGGGCTCAGTGAGTTGCCCAAGGCCAGGCAGAAGGTCTGTGGCAGAGGCAAGAACTAAACACTCAGTCCCAGCCCAGTGCTTTAGCAAGAAGACCCTGAACTGAGATTTTTTTTGTACCGTTCTCATTTTCTATCTTTCCTCCTTTTGTTCTTGTTTGAGACTTGGAAGCTTTGGAGCCTTGCAGCGATGGCCGCACTTCACAAGACTCACTTACTAGCTCTCTTTTCAGCACGGGGGCCTTCCTCAGCCCAGCTCCTTGGGCAGGGAATCTCAGTTTGGCGACAGAAATGCATCAGCTCTGCACATCTGACAGGTTTCCGTTTTGCTGCCCACTAGATGGCATCTGTGATCCCAATAACAGGACTTCCAATGTCAAGCTTTGCTCAAAGGCTTTCAGCCTTTGTGGCAACAGGTATGATGCCAGCTGATAGGCGTTAGAGGAAGAAATGAATAGCCCAGCAAGAAGCTAACCCTCCCAAGTGATCTGTCCGGTGGGGGGAAGTTACTCACCATTAGTTCATTTTTTGTTATTTATTATTGCTGTCTCACAATTCCCACAAGTTTCCTTACCAGGTGGCACTTGTTGCATGGTTTTCCCCTGATACACAGTAGATTTCCTCCCATAGCACAGCATCCTAGCTGATCCTTCCCCATCAATCTGTTCTGAATTTTACAAATACTTAATCATTTGAATGGTGTCCAGCTGCCAACGAGACCAGAGGCAGTTCACAGAAATCCAGAATTCCCTTTTAAGCCACTGTCAGAGGTCACAGCCAAGCCTATGATTTCCCACCCTCCCTCTTCATCTCATCAGACCTAATCTCTTCTCTGCACCAGTGGGCAGCAAGGATGAAAGGCTGTTGGGGCAGGAGGATAATTCATCCACGTGTTTGTGGATCGAGTTAGGCGAGCAGTGAGATAAGTGGGAGACACAGGGGGTCGGGCTGGCCCCGAATTGTACCACGACAAAGGGAGACATGTCTGAATTCCTCCAGGCGGTGCCGGCGACCATCCCCACGTGCTCAGCCATGCTCCCTGCAGCGGAGCAGAAGCAGCATATACCAGCCACCGTGGCTTGGCTATCCTGACACCATTGCAAAAACCTGGCCCAAGGCCTCAAGCCTCCCCTACCCACTCCTGTGCTGGGTTTGTCCCTACTGCTTTAAATGTCCAGCACTGTCCAGCCTCCCGCGGGGTTTTAACTTACACACGTGTAGGATGCGTTGAGTTGCAGGCATATCACATGAGGTTTCGTCACGTGCTTGACCCTGTGGCACGTGATGCTCTGGAAAGCAAAGCAAAACGAGGCAGGCATTTGTAAAGAGCAGGGAGAGACAGAAGCAGGCCAGGGCATCTGGCTGCATCCCTTGAGGCCTTTAGACTGTTTGCCTTCATGACTCTCAATCCCCACCCTCCCTCCTCAGGGGGCTATTGATCTCTGTGTTTCCCAGGTCACCTCCTGTAATTAGCCCACATTAGACAGCATTCAGGAAGCTTCCCTGGAGCTGAGCTCCAAGCGGCTTTTCTGTGCCCAGATTTGCTGCATCCCGGTTACTAGGTGCGGCATAACTGCACTAGTGCTAATCTTTGCAGCCGCGATAGGGAATCAGCCCGTTATGATTCATGTCCTAGGGTGAGGTCCCTTGCTCTGCTGCCCAGTTCCCTGCTAGTCCTTTAAAACTCAGCAGAGAAAAAGCTCCAACTTCATTGCCTTGAAATCCCTCTGGCGATTCTGCCCTTGTGATGACGGTTGCATTAACAGCCCTATCCCACGAGTCCAGCTGGCTTCAAGTCCTAATGTAGCCATCACTAGAGAGGCCTTCTGGAAAGAAAGTATTCTGATGGTAAATCTCACCGTGTCGGGAAAGCAGGAGGGAGTGAATACAAGCAGGCTGAACTTCAGCAGGGAAGGTGCAGCCAAGAATAGTGAAGTCATCCTTGTGGAAGATAACTCAGATGAAGCTTGAAATCCATCTGCTGGGCCTGGTTTGGGGGGAGTGGGAAAAACCCTGCAGCCCTGGCTGGTTGCTTTTGACCCGAAGGATGCTATGATGTGCAGTGAGCTACAAGCTTTGCAAACTAGATCGCCTTCTGCCTGCTGCGGAGCTGCTCATCCCCACCCACAGAGCAAGCAGTCATGCACTTGGGTGCACTACTCACATACTCACAGCCCTCTTGCTCACCTGAAAGACGGTGCTTTCCAGCACCCCTTTGCAATTCTTTACTGCCTTGGGCAGGGGGGAAGAAAGGCAGGAATTTAGGAATATTAACGGATTTAGCTTAACACCACCTAGGGGATTTTTGGTCTGCTTCTCTCAAGTTTACCGAGGGGAACGGTGGCCAAGATCACAAGGCGAGGTCATGTCAGGGCAGGGACAAGACCAATGTCCTGACTCCTGATCTTGCGACCTAACGACAAGGTCATCCCGCCCCCTTCCCCTCTTATGTACAGCAATGGGTCTGGTTTAGCACACTTTGGCACTAACAAGCCACAGCTCCTGAATAAAATCTTCAGGAATGATATGCTCAGCAACACACAGTCAAACACTTGCTCCTACCTCTGTTCCATTACTAATTTCGTTTCCTGGGCTTATGGTAACGGAGGAAACAGTGTGCTTTGTGCTGCCAGGAGTAGCAGTCCAGGCTGATTTCAGAGTTGTGTTTGGCAGTGTCATGGTGGAAAAAGATGATACTTCTAGCTGTTGAGTGGAAGATATATTTGTAGCCCGAGGCTCTGTTGCATTGCTGCCCTCATAGCTGCACTCTGTGGTGGGTGGTGGGCTGGGGGCTTCAGTCACGTTGACCGTTTTCAAAGTAGTTCCTATTTCCAGGAAGGAAAGTGTATGAAAATGCTGAACAACTTCAGAGCCAGCACATGTCACTACAGTGACTGAGGTGCAACATGAATTTGTCATAGAGGTGCCAAATCATTTCCCTGGCTCTATGAGACGTGCATCTTAGACAGACTTCAGAGCTACCTGGTTCTTACGTGCACTTCATGATCTGCTTACAATGGACTCCTATGCATATTGCAAAACAGCATAAAGCTAGGCTTAGTCTCTAAAACCCACCTCCTCTGGGCTGCTCCTCCCTTCTTGTTGAATGTGGAGCCCTTAAATATACAGATTTACCCACCTGAAAACATTGGAAGGGAGAGCATGCGTCTCTCTAAGATGATCCATCTTGAATCTGACCCCCTGTACCAGAGCAGCAACTTCTTACATATGCAGAAAATCAAATGGGAATGCAGAGATGTGCAAGGTGAACGCGTCAGCTGAGCACAACAGTGAAACTGGCTCTGGGGCTGTGAGGTCAGGGTTGAGCTGACCTTTTATCTCAAGCAATCATTTAACAACAGGTACAGACCAAACAGTTTGGATATGGAACCAAACTTTCTGGGTTTGAGGTACAATTTTGGGCCTGTTATAAAGCAAGGAGCTAGGAGCACAAAATATAGAATCCAAAATGCCCAAGTGTCGATGTAAAGATGCCTTTGGATGAGACAACCTGTTGTCATTTATCTGTTGGGTGGGTTCTTAGGGCACTTGCATCCCTTGTAAATCCGATAGCTGAAACACACTCACAAATGGAAACTACAGAGAGGGCAAGCAAAATAATTACCATTTATCGATATGTTTTTTGCAGTCGGTGGTGCTAAAGTTCCTGCAGGACTGCTGGGCGTTGCATCTTCTGGGCCTGCCTTTGTCGTATTACCATCAGCTGTTTCTGGTGGCATCACCAGGGAAGTTATAGTAAACGTTGCATTTGTGGCAGAGGTCTTTGCTTTTGAAGTGCCATTGGTGTCTGTGTCACCAGAAACTACCTCTGCGGAGGGAAAAAACAGAGAGTGCAGAGGTGTAAGTCAAAAGCACAGCGTGACATATGACCTATAAACTCTAGTGGGACTCTGCTATCTCTGTCATGTGGCATCTGAGAGCCCTTTGTGGAGGAAAAATAATACGTCTGTAGTGCTGCAATGCCTTGTTTATTGTACGAGGTGTTTAAAGGATGGTAGAGCAACCTGCTCGATCCTTTGGATGTTGGGGGGTTATTGGGAGGCTGGAGCTGGGTCACCCCTTGCCTGCCCCCAGAAAAGATGTTCTTTCAAGCTTTTGGGCACAAATGCCCTTCTTTAGGCATAGGGAGGGTCTGCTGGTGTTTTGTGTGCTCCCCTGGGTGAGCAGGAGAGCGCACAAACACACGCAGAGTCTCCCTGTGCCTGAAGAAGGGTGTTTGTGCCCAAAAGCTTGCAAAGAACAATTTTTCCAACTATTTAGTTGGTCGAATAAAAGATACCACATTTACCCAAAAAGCCTCGTCTGCCTATGCCCTGAGACCAACACGGCTACAACCAACACCCCAGAAAAGGGGCAGTGGCAACTGAGGAGCGATGCAGAAGGCCCCTTCCCTCTTGCTGTGCCCTAGTCCTTCAAAAAGGCATGGCAAAATGGTCCCCCAGGCTGGCCCTGCTCCAAAGCATCACTGCGTCAGGCCTGTCTTGGGGACTGACTCCCTGCGAGCGGCTCTGATACCACGAGCACATGGCACAGCTCCCCCAGAGCTCCCTGTTGATCAGTTTTTCTTGCTGTGCAAATGGGGAAGAAAGGACTTTTAAGGGCTATTTTCACAAGGCAAGGCTTTTCTATGTCAAAAAGGGGAGAGAGGCCTTATCGCTCCTATGGAAAAAATGCAGGGACCAGTTGTTTGGAGTGTTGGTCTCAAACGCTCAAACATTCACGGTTATCCTGGTTACTCCAGCGTCTCCATTTCCAGTTTTAACTGGGAGTTGAGCAGAACTGTTGGCATGATGGCTCTTGTTCTACTTGAAGCCTATACAAGGAAGGGGAAGAAGAGCTCAGTGTGGGACTGAGCACGACAGGAAAGATTCAGAATTTGCAAAAAAGATGCTTGGACAACAGAGAATACCCAGTTTCCTTTTCCCTGGGGTCACAACCAGCTTTATGGCCTGATCTAAAGCCCTCTGAATTCAGCAGAACCATCCCCATGGGCTTTAGGTCAACTCCTTGCTATGTGCAAGCAATACAGTCTCTTAAAGGCAAAAGTGAATAGTTACAGATTCATCAAATATTCTAGTTTAAGGTTTATAGGTCCCCCTGCAATTACCTGTTGTGTTCAAAACATGCCACCTCCAGCTCTCTGTATGAAATAATCTTTAAACATTGATGAAAACATTTTTTTTCTTTTGGTGCTTGTATAGACTTATTATGCTTTCTTCCTGGAAATCTATTTATATATTTTTAAGTAAGCTTCAATGCCTACTTCAGGAGCTGTTCCTGTTTATGATTCTGCTCCATAACTTCAAGAGAAAAATAATTTCGAAAGAAATCGGTGTTTCTGCCCAGGAGAGGCTGGACTCTTAACACCTCTGAGCAGAACTATTTTATTACAAAAATTTCCTCCCCCAAAAAAAGATTTAGCAGAATTGGTGCTAAATTCTGATCAGCTGCTCAATTTTCCAAGCCTCGAAACATTACAAATATGACAATTAAGTGGTTTGAAAAATTTGCAAGAAAGGGGAAATTACTCCTTGCAACAGATAATGATGCGACTGTACTAGGAACCCAGCCTAAGACACGCTTCAGGAGCAGGTGGCTCCAGCTGCGATGGTTTAATAGATCATACAGCCTATGGCTATGTAACCAGACAAGAGATCAGCCAGAAAGCTGGCTGGCAAATCGGGGAGACTCGGATCTTCATCACATCCTGACATAGGCATTATTTTGGTGCCAGGCTCACACCTCTTTGAAGGTCTATCTGCTTCTTGGCCTTGCTATAGGAAATGGGGAGGAGAACTTGATGGGGCCATTTTTCCTAGTGCCCTAAAGAGGGACAGGGCATGCCAGGGGTGCCACAGCTGAGAGCCGATCCAGGAGCGGTGCCACCCTCAAGTACTGTCTTTAGGCTTAGGTATGAAACAGCATCAGGAGACACTGCCTGCAACTGCAGACGAGATGGACACAGGGCCCATTATGCAAAGCACCACACTCAAGTGCAATTGCCCCAAGAACTTATAGTCCAGGGAAGGTTTCCAGGTTGTAGCCATACTGGTCCAGAGGCAACAGCAACCAGCACTCGTGGTAGAGGTGAGATCTTATTAGACCAACTAGATTTTTGCAAAAAAAGTTCTTTAATTGCAGGCTTTCAGGCACAAGCACCCTTCTTCAGGCATAGGAGAAATGATGGTAAAAGTTCTCCTAGGTGGAAATGGAAGTGCATATTTCATAGGAGAGTTGAAGGCATAGTAAAATCTGCTGCATAAAATGAACTGTTCCAAATGGGAGATTTTACCACACCTTCAACTCTCCTATGAAATATGAACTTCTGTTTCTACCTAGAACTTTTACAATCTTTTCTCCTATGCCTGAAGAAGGTGCTTGTGCCCAAAAGCTTGCGATTAAAGAACTTTTTCCGCTAAAATCTAGTTGGTCTAATAGAAGATCTCACCTCTACCAGATAAGAAACTTGCTCCGAAAAGGCCCCATCGTCCTCAGGGGCAGAGCTGCATTTCAGACAGGCCTGGCTAAAGTCATTCATGAAATAAAGGTAAATGCGATGCATATACTGCCTTTTACTACAGAGAACAGGTCCTACTGATTAGCACAAGAGACTGGGTATCCACACTCTATGGCTGTGTCTACTTTTGCTAAAAGGGAAGGATAAACACCCAATCATAGTGAAAAGGCAGAGGTAAATTGAGCTAATGCAAAATATCCTAAGGAAACCTGCTGGGATACAGTGCAGCAAAGCCTTACTACAACCCACTTACCAGTATAATGAGCATTGTCTCAGGCCAATGGCAGGAAAAGGTGTAAACTTCTGCAACCTACCTACTTGTGCAAGGCTGTAACAGGCAGGGGTGGGAAAGGTTATCACTGGTGAAGATCCACTTACATCTTGGAGGGTTTTTTTTTGTTTTTTTTTAGTTCTTTATCATTTTCTGCCGGTTACTGAAACTGCTGCTATTCTTTATCCATAGACCCCCTAATCTTTTTGGAGACTTAACTATACAACTTCCAGTCACATCCACTTTGCTCCAGAAGAACGTGTGTAACAAGTGCAAGTCAGGAGAATGAGGGAGCTGATTAGCATGGTAAAGACAACCGCGCAGCACAAAACCGTCGATGTCAGAGAATCGCTCGTACATTATAGGCGGGCACACAGCATCCGTTTGGATTTAAAAAAAAAAAAAAAAATCTGCGAAGAATAACCTTGCCATCAAACCGCAACCTCCAATTCCCGACCGTCAGAGACTGCTGGTTAATTATGACTGTTCAGTTCACACCAGGTCTTACAGCTTAGGAGGGCCAGGCATTAAGGGGAGTTTTGCTTGTGTAGCCAGTGCATGATCGGGCTTAAAAACCTCCAAGGATAGAGATCCCACCACCTCTCTAAGTAACTTGCTTCAGTGCTTCACCACCTTCCTAGTGAGAACATTTTTCCTAATATCCAACTTCAGCTTCCCTTGCTGCCACTGGAGCCCATTGCTCCTTGTCCTGTCGTCTGCCCCCACTGAGACCAGTCCAGCTCCATCCTCTTTGCAGCCCCCCTGCAGGGACTTCAAGGCTGCTATTCAATCCCCCTCGGTCTTCTCTTCTCCAGACTGAATAAGCCCAGTTCCCTCAGCCGCTCCTCGCAAGCCACGTGCCCCAGCCCCTAAACCCCTAAAGAAGTCTTTCTCCTGCAGCCCTCGCTAAGTGGCCAAGGCCCATAGGGGCAGGATTTCAGACCCATCCGTGTCCTCTGCATTCCCTGTTGGCTGCCCCACACTTGAACACACTGATTTCAGGCAACTTCCAGGGTGCGACTGTTTTGGTCCCATTTGGAGGTACTTAACACTCCTCCTGTACTGTAAAAAGAGGCTTGGCACCCAATTCACGGGCCTGGATTCTACTCCGGAGGTCATGGACCAAAGCTATACTGAACTGAACCTCGCCCTTCATCTCCATGCCCCATTTAGTCCTTATCCTCTCTGCTAACATAGGGCCAGATGTCTCAAATTGCTCAGCTGTTATTTAGGCACCAGACCGTGAAGCCAGCTTTTGGGAATGGCTGCCGAGTACTTTGGAAATCGGGCCCTGTGGAAGCTGGTTGTGACAGATTTTTTTTCTGCATCTCATTATCAGCTTCTGAACTATCCGCCCCACCACAAAATGCATTTCCATGAACCTAAAAGCTAGAGGTGGGACACAGAGCTTATGTCCGCATTCGAACTGCTGCAGCGCTCAGGCATGTTGGGATCTGGGATTTCTGGTTCTGGCCTGATTTTTACTTTAAGGAAAGAGACGCTGGAATTGAGATCCATCTTGTGGACAAAGAGTTACATCACTGAGTTTCTCCGATAACAAATTTTAACAAATCAAGACCAGGAGGCATGATTTCATGCCCAGAATAATAAGTAGCACAATGTCCAATCTCTCCTTTTCACAAGGCTTTTGTTTACAGGGACCTCAGCAGGAAACTTTACCTCATTGCAATGATGTAATGCCTTGAACTTGACCTCCCAAAGTGCCACAACCACCCAGACAAACACCTTTGAACTTTTCCAGATGTGTCTAAAAACACCAGAGCTGTTTGGCCAAGGTCTTTATACCAGCGAGTATTATAAAACAAGGACTGGATCGTTCTTATGTTGTAATTTGCTGTACCATTTGTTCTGCCTTCTCACAAAGACACGCATGCTCCCCACCCGGCCCTGGCTTATGCAACCAGCTTAAAATAAAATGAAGTATTTGCACCCAAGAGATCCTAACAATACTGATGAGGACTGTAATGCCACTCTCAGGTGGGGCTTCATTAAAACCTCA